CTGGCCCTATTCATGCAGGTTGCTGGCTCTCTTTTAAAAATGTTGCCTCCCCATCGCCTGTGGGAGAGGAAGTTCCGTTTTCTCCTCACCTGGCTTGTCCTTGTTCGGAGTTTTGATTCATCAGGCAAAATTTCTGATGCAGTCCCTGGGCTGGGAGCCAAGCCTTGGCCCTGGCTCATAGAAAGGATCTTTGCAGCGAGGCTGTGGCCGGGCATCGCCAGAGGTAGGGGGTGACCTCCCTCCTTCCGCCTCCCTTCTTTCCCCTCTCTCCCTCTCTTCTCTGGCTCCTGTTCTCCAGGGCTCTCCGTCTGCCTGATCTCTACCATCCCCCTAGCATGAGGGTGGCGTTTCGGCGTGCCAGCCAGGAAGCCCCATCCAGGCTCTGCCGGTGGCTTCCTTCACACCTTCGTTTGCCGTCTCAGAGGCACGTCCTGCCAGCCATTCTTTTCCAAGCCGTGCTTCACGCCGACTTGGTCTTCCTTGGTTGGCCTGCACGGCTTCCATGGCTGAGGATTCAGGCTGGCTCACCGCGTGATTGTCAAAACGAAGAGGTTGTTGGTCAAGCCACCGGTCGGTTCTATGGCCGGAGTCCCATCGGTGTTTACACCAGGTTTGCATAACATGTATAACTCACATAAAAAAAGAATATTTGTGATTAAGACCGTCACTGGGGCGAAAGGTATGGACAGTAGATTATAAAACCTAGTTTGTGTTCTTGTTGGTATTATTTCTGCACTAAGATGTCCAGAGAGAGAGAGAGAGAGAGGCAGAGATAGGGCGCTTCCCTCCTCCCGTTGCCTACGTTTGCCTTCTTTTCTCTTCCCGTCTCCTTAACTACGTTCTCCTCTCAGCCTGAAGATGGGAGAGTTTTCCTCTTCATCAGGCATTAACCTGCACATCTCCCTCTTTTTTCTTTTTCTCCCTGGGCACGCAGGAAAGTCCTCCTCCTGCGCACGGCCCAGCCTGGGAGCTGGTATGCATGCAGGTTCCTCCGCTTCTTGTGTCCTCTTCCACGCCTGTCTCGTTGCATATATTCAAAGCACTAACAAGGAGTAAATAGCATTTGACTGGGTCTGCACCAAATGTCCTTCGCCCCCCCCATGCCATAGTGCCTATGGCCATAATACTGTTATTAATGCTAATGATAGATGGGGACCTTTAACTCCTTCCTTCCTTCCGACTCCTATTTATCTACTTTATAGACAGACCCAATCAGCACCATCTCTTACATGCACAGTCTACCTGCAAATTTTAGGGGTTAGGGGACAAACCGGTGAGCGGCCGACATCTCTTCTGCCCTCTCTAAAGAGTTCACAGGGGCATTGGCTTTGCCTGCCGTGGGAGAGAAATCATGTTCTGGGCCCGATCCAGCACATAGCAGACCCTGTTTGTGCCTCGGTTTCCTCACTAGAGTTATAAAAAGGGCCCAGTGTTCACCGTTTCCTAGCCCTGTCCGCTAAAATACCTCGTTTGACCCTTTTGTTAGCTCTTACCCAACATAGGAAATCTTGGGTCATTCGGAGTACATTTCTATGGGACGCTGCATATTGGGTGCCTGCCTGCTATATCGAGTGGCCACCCTTTAAGGGGGGGGGAACAGGATTGTGTTCCTGCGTTTTTAATATATGCCACAAAATGAAAAAAAGATTTCAGGAGTTGAAAGATAACACTGGCCCAAAATCCCGTTATGCAAAAGTAAGCTATGGATAGATTGGCCTTGTATGCGGTAGAAGGTCTTTGGGGTTTTTTTTCTGCTTCGTCTTACCCCGTCTCGCACTCTTGATAGGTTTTGTCTCCAGAATCGCTGTGTTTTGGAGGGAAGAAGCCGCAGGAAAGTAATTGGTTCAGAGATAGAAATGGCCTTCTTTCTCAAGGGCATGGAGTACATCGGGGAGGGTCAGTCTTTGGCCAGCCTGCAATTTCACTTGTTAGCCCCTAATTGTTTCAGACAGGGGAGCCTAATAGACCTTTTATTTCTCCCGGTCTCCTCCTTGACCCCCGTACTCCTGAATCTTTTTCCCCCCCTGCTGATTTAGCTTATGAAGAAGCTTCTTTCCTCTCTTTCTCAACAGTTATAGTCTCTCCAGCTCTCTGTGCACATGTTAGGTATACATCAAAAGCGGCTGTATGGGGTTTCATCCTGTATGTCATTTTATACCCCAATGTCTGTAGAAGTGGTATGGGGTTTCATCCTGTATGTCATTTTATCCTCCTATGTCTGTAGAAGTGGACGTGATCCACAAAAGCTCACATTAAAATATAATAGTTTTTAAGGTGCAATACGTTTTTTTCCCCTTTTGTTTTTGTTTTCTTCCGATTTTTTCTCGTTAAGCTTTATCACCCTAATGTAGACGGTCTCAGAGTTTGGAAGTAACTCATTGCAAGTAAGGTAGCGATCTGAAACTATTTGCTTTCGGCATTGGGCTAGAGTAACAGAACTAATAATTTTGAAGTAACTCAGTTAACAAGTTAACCAGTTGCTTAGACATAAAGTAACATCTAGTTACTTTCAAACGTTAGCTTTAAAGGATGTATTTAAAGACAGTTTAACTTAAATGTCTGAGGTTTTAGGCCATTCTTTTATCATGCCTAAGTGGGTTTTGGGTTTGTTTTCTGCAGTTATATAAATATTGTGTGCATGTTGTGTGATGCCAAGTCAAAACCGACTTATAGTAACTCTAATAGGGCTTTCAAGGTAATTGAGGTATTTAAGGCAAGGGTTTTGGGTTTGTTTTCTGCATTTATATAAATATTGTGTGCATGTTGTGTAAGGCCAAGTCAAAACCGACTTATAGTAACTCTAATAGGGCTTTCAAAGTGATTGAGGTATTTAAGGCATGGGTTTACCACTACCATTCCACCAGTGAGCTTCTATGAATTCGAACCCTCTTCTCCAGAGTCCTAATACATAACTCTACTGTAACATTACCAAGGTGCAATATCAAAATCGGTCATTAGGAGGAGCTAGAGAGTATTTACTTGTATGTTTCTGGCAGCATCAACACCACACACTAATGAGGACTACAATGAATGACTTGAGCAATTGGAACAATGATAACAACAATCTGACTGCCCAACGGTTCTTTTTAAAATGTGATGTGTGATGTCTGGCTTGGGTAGATAGATGCATATATACATAAATTAAAAAGTACTTCTATTGGTAGCTCCAGCGAAAATCATAGCAAAAAGTTTTAAGAAGTTCTTGCGTTTATCTGTATTTATCAACTCATCTCTAGTTACCCATCTTAACAGTCCCAAATACCAGCCATGTCTTAGTTCCTTGACCATTTGCCATGGTTAAGCACCGAAGCATCAATCTGCTGGAAATAATGCCAATTAGACCATGGACCAGCTCCCAAGGAACGTTCACGAGGAACGGAGGGTCCCCGGTCACCCTGCAGCGTTAGCCCCTCAGCATTTTAGACAGGGGAACGTAATGTCTCTAGACTCACAACTCCCATGGCTTCTTCTGATGTGCTCCCTTCGGCAGAGGGGGCTACAGGGGAGACCTAGAAGTCACCCCCCCCGATTGCTCTGAAACCAGTCTGAAGCCTCCCTGCCCGCCCTCCGGGGTGCCCCGGCCGTAGCCTCCGTGAGCCGAAGGAGAGAAGACGCAACAGCCATGGACCCAGACCAAGTCTAGGTTTGGTATGTAGGCCAGATAAGGCAGCGAGGGAACATGAGCCTCGCGTCCCAGAGCGATGGCGCCACTTGTATCTATTTCGGAAGGCCAGGATGCTGACACCAGCGGAACCGCAAAAAAAAAAAGTCAGTGTGTCGATTCGCAGCAAAGAAATCCAGGGGGGTGGGATGATCATGGCCTTCGTTTCAATCAAGTCGTGCGTACCCTTCTGAGATGAGGTGCCCTCTGCCGGCTGATGGGGCAGGAAAGAGGCTCTCGTCTCAGCATAAACCTTCGTCCCGTGATGCCTCTTCCCTGCTTTTCCTCTGCTGAGAAACGGGGAGAAAAGGTCTTTGGCTGCCCCCTCCGCGCATCTCCAATTTTGCAAACCGAACCAGCCTCTTAAGAATTCTGTCCAGGTAGCGGGTGGCGAATGTTCCAGCTGCTTCTTTCTTCGCTCACTTCAAAACAGAACAGCTGGAGAGGGAAGGGAAGAGCAGAGAGGTTATCTCAGAACGGCTGGTGAGTAAACTTGAGCTGTTCCTGGGAAAACACAGACACACAAGGGAAGAGCAGAGAGGTTATCTCAGAACAGCTCAAGTGAGTAAACTTGAGCTGTCCCTGGGAAAACACAGACACAGACACAGACACACACACGTCCTTTCCACTTCCTTGCAACTGGACTGGGCTGATATGGGGGATGCCTTTAGAGATGCTCCCGGGCCAGCAGCTCCTTCCCTGTGAACTGCTGAAACCAATGGGCACTCTAATGGATTGGAAACTCTAACTGATCGGAAACTCTAATTGATTGGAAACTCTAGCGCTATGCAGAAGCAGCTGTGCAGGATCAGAGGCCAAGAAGAGAGCCTTAACCCCAGAATAATTACGTATTATTGTTTAAGCTGAGAAACAAGAGTTGGTTTAACTTAGAGGCTCCCAGCATTAGTCCAGGAACACCTCTGGACCCAAAGTTGGGAACCCCTGGCCTAAGGGGATTTGAACCCAGGTCTCCAAACACACCGTGGTCCTTACCTCTCCTCACAAAGCAAACCTTGTTTTTGAGGAACTGTGCCTTCCGTTTGAATGGGGAGGGGTGGCGTGGTTATCAGAGGCCCACAAGACCTGCTCGAGAGTAGAGGTGAGGAACAGGGTGGCCTTCCCGATGTTCTTGCTTACAACTCCGAGGACCCCATCCAGGATGGCCGGAGGTAGAGGATGATGGAAGTTGTACCCTAAAACATTTGGAAAGCCAAGGATCCTCCATGCTTCCTTTACACTTGGTTATTGGATGACCCCATTGGTTGAGTGGGTCTTTGGTCTCCCAAGATCTCATTTCTTCCTTTTTTCTTCTTCTTTCCCCCCTCCCTTCCTTTTCCAGCTCTGTTCTTGGACATTGTCATCATTGCCGGCTTACAGAAGATGGCCAAGCGGAAGGGCCCCTTTGACGTCAGCCCCGGCCTCTTGGATTACTTCACCATGGACGTCTATGCTTTTCCCGCCGGCCACGCCAGCCGGGCTGCGATGGTGTCTAAATTCTTCCTCAGCCACCTGGTTTTAGCCGTCCCGCTCCGGATCCTGCTCGTCCTCTGGGCTTTCTTGGTGGGACTTTCCCGCATTATGGTGGGCCGGCACCACGTCACCGACGTCCTCTCCGGTTTTGCGTTCGGCTACTTGCAGTTCAGGCTGGTGGAGCTTCTTTGGATGTCTTCTAATACATGCCAAATGTTGATTTCCATGTGGTGAAGGAAGACAACACACTGTGCTTCCCCCCCCTTCCCTTTTATTCCCTCCCTCTTGCTCGCTTTTTTAATGCACAGAAAATGCAGAAGACATTTTTTTAAAAAAAACGGGAATGGCGCACAACTCCAGTGCATATCAGCTTCCATCTTTATTGATGAAGATTTGGTTGCCTCCATGAAAGATGACATCTTCTGAAAACTGGCTGGCCCCCATGCAGTCAAGACTCACTGCTGGATCGAGGCCCTGTTTTCTTGACTACTTCCCACTGGATCCCAAATTCGTTTGGTTGCAGAGAGAGAACAAAAATTACACTGCTCTTGTTACGTGTTTCTTGGTTTAGATGGCACACCCTTGGCACTGCTGAAACATACCGCCTTCGTGGTTTTAACGTGCATTAATTTGCTTTCATGGGAAATGGGGAATTCAATGAGAATTATCAAGTAATTAGGTTGCCACCCAGAGCTCTACACCATACCTTGGAAATTACCCAGTGCAGTGCGAGTTGAGGCTTCGCTGGCATCTCCTATCTGCCTTGGCCTTCCTTCCTTGTCTGTCAAAAAAACACCCATAAACAGGCAGGATTTAAGGTCGAGACAATAGGGTGTAATGGTTAAAGCAAATTTCCCCAATCGTGCATTCTCGATATGGGCTCAGCTGCCCTTATCCCCCAATGGGGACGGTGCAGGATGTAGTCCATCTCTTCTAGAGAGTATCTAAGAGGGAAAGTCTTGGTCACAGTGCCAGGCTAGGATTAGAGGGACCTGAGTTCAAATCCCCCACCCCGTCACAAAGCTCACCAGGTGATCCCGGGGCTAGAACCTTTGTCCCTTCGAATGACCTGCCTTGCAAAATGGAAAACCGCCTGTGCCTGTCTGGAGCCCCACAGAGAAGATGGAACGAGCCCATCAACCGACATTCTGGCCTTGCAAAACAGCCAGGTCTCCCCTCACGTCCCGCTGCAAAGCCTCATCGTGATCTCAGGAGTATCTCTTGGGGGACCTGCCGTGAGGGTGCGGGGATTTTTGTGTGTGTGTGTGTGTTTTGGGGGTGGAAACACAGTTCCTACTGCAAGCCAGGCACCGATCGAGACTTTAACAAACAATAAAGGATTCATCCCGTTTGGCTCTGTGAATTCCTTTGACTTCCACGTTCGTGGCCTTGTTTCTCGTGTGCAATTCAAAACGGGGTGTGTGTGGGAATGTGGAGGGAGGCCGGCCCGTTGCTTGGGAGGAACCATGGACACGAGGCCGGCCCTTCCACGGGACACGGGGAGGCACCTGCCTCAGGTAGCAGATTTTAGGAGTGGGCAGCAAGCCCTTGGGTTTGGTCTGATGGTATTATTTTTTTCCAGCCCGCATCGGGAGGGACATCCCTCGGCTTCCCTGGGGACTCGGGACCTCGAACTGGCCGGCGATGGGGAAGCCCGTGGCTGCTCTGCGTCAGGCAGCCACGGGTCTCGGGCGGCCCCAACGCTCAGGCGGCCCGATGGGTCTTTTGGGAGGGCAGTCCGGCAAAATGCCCAGAAAAGGCGAGCAAAGGTGGGAGGAAGTAAGCAGAGAGTCTCCCCCCCCAAAAAAAACCCATACACTCCTGACCCACTAAGGGGTCCAATCCTGCTCCCGCTACAGTCAGGACCCTAATGGAGCAAAAATTTGAGCTCTAGACCAATTACCGATAGCGGTTTGGGCATTTTACCTGCTACTGCTACGAGGCTCCTTCAGGGAAGAAGGTAGCTAGGCCCCGTTGCCGTGACAACGCTCCCCCCCCCCGCAGGTGTAGCCCAGGTGAGTTCGAAATTCCTGGCCAGAAAAGAGAACGCCACCACCCTCTCCCCGGGGGGCTAGGCTGAAGCCATTTTGGAGGGGAAAAGATGCCGAGGCCGGTTGTGTTGGCTTTTGACTTCAGTACTAATGGCTAGCAGAACTCCGAGGTCAGGCACTAATTCGGAATATTTTTGTTATGATGAGTAATAAATAGTACCTGCAAGTCATGCTTGGGTGGGGGCAGGGAGTGACATTTTTAAAAAAGTACCTAAGGATCAGGGTTGAAGGTATTTTTGCGGGAAGTAACTAGAAAGCATGGTTAGTTGCCCTTTATTTACATTTTATGTTATTTAAAATATTTATAGTCTTGTAAAAAAAATCAAGGCAGCTGTTATAGGGGGTTTTGAAACATTTTAAAGGGACTTGAACAGGATTGATTGATTGATTGATTATGCTTCTTATTTCATTATCCTATCAAGGTCAGTATTTCTTTCCCCCCTCCAAAAAAGAAGTGAACAAGCTCCCCAAATAAGCTACCGAGAAACAGCAGGCAGCATGTGGCATTCGTAAGTTACCCATCTTGTTACCTGTATATCTGGATGTTCTGGGGAGGGAACGAAGGGGGTGTGTGGAAGTTACATTTCCAAGGTACTGTGAGAAGTAGGATACTTTTCGAAACTGGAAAGTGCTTTTAAAGGACATTGTAAGGCATTTTCCCCATTTTAGATCACTTTCTTATCAATCCCAAATATTCCACACTCTGAAATATTAGATAGATAGATAGATAGATAGATAGATAGATAGATAGATAGATAGATAGATAGATAGATAGATAGATAGATAGATAGATAGATAGATAGATAGATAGATAGATAAAAATAAAATAATATGGTCCCAAAAAGTCCTTCTAGAGCGTAGCAAATTCAAACAGACTCCAAGCCCAAAGAACAGTAATTTTTGTAAGCAAAACAGTAACCCGATGCTTAAGATACTGTTCACTAGCTCTGCTTATCCCCTTTTAGGAAATACCTGGCACGCTGAGCGTAGACTGCTTTGGAGCTGATGTCTGTGGCCTGTTTGTTTGTTAGTTGCTCGGTAATCAATGCGAGAGGGCAAATAAATAGAAAATCTATCTCTGGCAAGCATTGCTCTGGCTGGGAAGTCATGGGAGAGAGAGAGACATCATCTTTCAGAGCAGACCGGAGAATCCCGTTGCAAAAGGGAGGCGGGGTGTCTCTCTCTGGCTGCCAAAGCAACCGTCCCGGTTGGCACTCCTAAAGCTCGTTTATGCAATTAGCCAATTCAAAGGGGAACAGTTCCTGGACTTGAGAGCAGCTGGTGCCTCCCAAAGATACGTATGAGAGAAAAAAATTAATCCACTCATATTTCTGTGATCCCCGCCCACCTTGTAAATTATCTTCTTTTCAATTAATCCTCCATAAGTATTTATTTGCCCTCCCAATTTCTCATCTTCAAGGTCTCTCCCACTTTAATCTCTAGTATAAAGAAGCAGAACTTGGGAGAAGCATCACATTTTCCATCAAACATGGGCAAACTGGGGCTCCCCAGATGTTATCAGGCTAGAACACCAGCGTTGTCCCTCATTCCGTCCGCTCCTGATTTAAATGAATCGCTTTCCCTTTTTGAGTTGGCTGGGTAGCTCAGTGGTTTAGTTCTCTGCCTTTGGAGCCAGAGGTTGGGGGTTCGAATCTCCCCCACTGGGCCTTCTGAGCAAAAGGCCAGCCTGGGTCGCCTTGGGCAAGCGGCACGGTCCCAAGGCTGCCCCATAGAGGAAGGGGAGGGTCAGCCGCTTCTTGAGTATGCATTACCTGGAAAACCTTGAAAAAGAGACACCATAGGCCAGAAAGGACTAGATGGCACATCAGGATGATGATTAATATGCACCCCCCAAAAAAAGATTAGATGTCACCCTTGGTGTGCAATACAGGCTCTCTGTGATGCTAAGAGAAAATCCCAAGGACACACAACTCCACACCACCTTCCATCCGGGAACCCTTCCCACTGGGTTCTGTCCAGAGTCCTCAGGCAGAGCGTTGGCCCTCCAGAATTTGGTTCTGATGCTACGGAGAAACCAAAATTTCTGCAAAAACGTTGCAAATTCTTGCAACCTTCTCCCCGGAGCCGGTCCTGCCGTTGGACAACGCGAGGTGGTCTTGGAAAGGGAGCAAACCGTGAGATATTTAGCTTAGTAGAGTTGTCCTTTTTTAAAATTTTCTTAATTTTTTTTTCTGATGGAAAGATAAAGAGGGGCTTGGAGTAGATAACGCGCCTAGCCTCAGGTGTGTGTCAGGATGTGCCATGACTCTTTCTGTGTTTTGCGGGGCTATAAAATGTCTGGTCCTCATGAGAGGAATGTAATGTGAGCAACTGACTAATTTGAGATGATCCCTCTGCTTTTTTTGAATCAGAAATGACACATAACGTGTAGTGTTTCCTCTCACAGAAGGAGGCAGACGGTTTTGCCGTTAAGTTGGCGGCTTGTGTTTACTTATCACCTGTCCCTCTTTGACATATTGTGGGAACAATCTTTGAGACTGCAGCCTTGTCCTGCAAACAAACGGATGGCTGTCTTCCCTCCCCCCCGCCCCCCCCGGTAATCTGTGACTTTCCAACCAACGGGACTGCCATTTTGCCCTGGATGCTGTTGCTTAAAAGGGTGGGGTGGTTGGATCCAGTTTATTAAAAGTGGGCATAGAGTTTTAGCAATTTTTTTAAAATTGGGCAGTGTGTGTGGAAGACTTCGAGGGCAGAAAGTAGCTATCTGGTCTCGTCAAGCTGCAGGATGAACCCAGGAGCAGAAAAACATTGGCCGGGAGGCCCTGGGAGGCTGAATGAAAAGAATGCCATCGTAAGCAGTGTGTGGCATCGCTTTTGAAAGCCAGTTTCCAGCAATGATAGCAGAAATGCGACGCGGAAAGGCCCGAGGTGGACGGGGCTACACAATGGCAAAATGCTCGTCTTATTCAAGTTCATCTTTTTGTCCTCGCTCGTTCACTCGTGCCCTCGTTCGGGAGCGGAAGCTGGCCTCCCCTGGAAAAGCGTGCCTCCCTTGGAAAGCAGATTCGGCTCCCGAGTGCCGACAGGAGGCCCGCTAAAATGGGACCGCTCCGAAACATGCCCGGGAGGTCTGCGCACAAGGGGCGGCATGCGCTCCTTGGCAGCTGCCCGTCAGAAAGCCCCCATTGGCATCACCGGAAAAGGTGTGCAGAAGCACCCAAAAATGGGCAGGGGGGGGTTAAAGGATGCGGCCCCTTCCCCAAAAAAAGAATAAGAATAAGCTGAGCATTCTTAGTCGCTATGACTTCTTGCATGTCCACAGAGGAGAAGGGAAAGGAGTGTCCGGGGGGGGCAAAAAGGGCATGATGGCTGGCTGACCTCTGGAACTGGAGGACTCGCCCGTCCTGCAATGGATTGTTTGCTGTTTGCTGCGTTCACTGCTGACTCTGCAGGGCTGAGAAAAGCTTCCCGAAAACCAGGGACGTTGGCATGTCCTTTGGGTCCGAGTCCCGAATCCGAATCTTTGGGGCCAATTCTCGAAGTCCGAAACTCCAAGTCTTGAGCCCTTGTTAGAAACAAGCCCTTCCCCCCCCCCAGAAAAAAAAGTGAGAGGGTGGGAGTCGAATCTGAGTCATTGAAAAAAAACCAAACACACCAGTGGAGTCGTTGTTGGTGTGACTTAACTCCGACTTGACAGCGAGTCCCGCGACTCGAGCCCCCTCCCCTGCGGAAAGCGGCTCAGGCCCATCCGTGCAGGGGGGGGCGGATGGGGGAGATCCCTTTGCCATCTGGCGCTGCGGCTGGCGATGCCGTGTAAGAGGGATCAGTTGTGTCCCTCCTGTTTCGGTGCAGAAAATAAAAAAGGGAGACGCTTGGCGACTGGAGATCAAGGAGTCAAGGGTAAAAGCAAGCGTTGAAGAACAGCCGAGTTTGAACGCCCAAGATGATTCAAGGAGGGCCCTCCGTAGACTGCTACAGAAGAAAGCTAAAATTTCAAGCCG